ACAAATTTACTTGAAATACGTTGGCAAACAGCTCAAGATTATCTTAATGAAGATGAAAAGAAATGGTCAGCTATGCATATTAATGAACGTACGATAAGTAATTATCGTTTAAATTCATCAATGAATTATTCAATACATTCGACTAATGCAAATGAAAGTCCTGAAGCAACTTTACGACGACAAACATTTCATATGAGTTCATTTGGTGGTCGACCCTATATTGATGATGATGATGAAGAAGAAGATGTAAAGATAAAGAATACTTAATCATAACGGAAATAAATATTGTCTTTTTTTTGTTTATCTATTCAGGAAGAAGTTGAACGATTCGATATTGATGATGAATTAATGAAGAATGATCAAACATCAAATGAAAAAAAAGTAGTTGATATGAAAAAAGTAAATGAATGTTATTATCTACTAAAGATAGAATATGATAGCGATAACGACGGATTTGTTGAATAGAGTTTTAATTTATAATATCATTGAAAATTTGTTTATATAATAGATTTCATTTGATCCACAATTTCCAACGAAATTTACTGAACAATCATTTTGGTACCAAGAAAATGAAGCTAACAGTGTAGAAAAAGCTAATAATAATAATAACAATAATGAAGACAAGGATAAAATGACATCAGCTCCAACATTACCTGATTTATTTGGAAATCATCGAATTCAACAAGAAAAAACAGGCCTATCAACGGAATCGAATTTCGAACAACTTTGTTCTTTACGCGCAAATGATAATGGTAGTGATTCTGGACTTTTTCCATTTCAATCCTCATCAACAATTCGGGATGAGGTAGGAAACGAACAAGAAGACTCGTAGAAAATATCTACAAACTATGGTTATATACAGAACATATACATACATACAAATCTTTCTGCTGCCGCCGCCGCCACCCGCTTACCGTCCCTAGTGGTATGCATTTTTGTCTATTTCGATTAATTTGACATTTTTGCAGTTTGTTTTTATTTATTACGTCTATTTGATATAGTATTAAATTAAAACGATCTTTTCTTCTTTGTTTTATATCTATTTTTCTTTTGTATCCAGATATGTATGTGTATGGTATTCTTTTGTTCGTTCAACTTTTGTTTTATTAGTATCTACGAATAAAAGGAGCAAAAAAGAAAAGATTAAACTATAATTTTTCAATGGCGGCAGCAGATAGATTTAAATAAATGTTAAATATTAAATATAGGGCGCACATTAAGTAATTGAACACATTTAAATTCAAAACAGAAACAATAAGGTTTCATGGATTTCGGTACGTACTATTTTTATTTTTTGAAAATATATTTATATGAAAATTTTATTTCACGTGTTCAGTATGTTTACTGTCTTGATTAATGCAAATCTTAAGCCTTTCCAGCGCATGTTGTTGCATGATCTGAAACATAACTTGACTGCAATTTCGTTAAACACTGCACGATTGTTATTCCTCCTTGTAGACCATATCTTTTACCAGGTCCCATAAAAAAAACTGGATTGTTCATCGACACTCAATTGATTTCATGGGATTTTTCTTATGGAGCATGGTAAAAGATACGACTCTGATGGAAGAATAGCGATCGCGCAACGTATTGAACACTTGAAATAAAATTTTCTGCTTGATTTTTTTTCTTGCAAATATACTTTCAAAAAATAATAATAGTTCCCAGACCTATTAAATCTTCTTGCTTCTATTCATATTTAAATGTGTTCTATATACATATATATTTTTTTTCTCTTTCAAATAGGTAATATCCAAGGACGATGCATTCTGGCAAGATCATCCAATTCATTTGGCAACTAGTAATGACAATCAACTTTTAAACAAATCAGGTGCAAAATCTAGTTCATCATCGGAAGGTGATAGCGATATTGATGATATCGATGATGAAGAATCAAAAATAGATTCGAATATTCCTGATGATGAAA